CATTAATGATGGCAACTAAACGGAACTCGGCTTCGATCAGAGTCTGACCGAATCTAATTTTGAGGGACACTTATTATTCGCGTGAAGTGACTGAATGTAACTGGAAGCGAGTGCTTGTTTAGACTAATGAATTTACCCTTGGAGCTTGGTAGGGAGATGAATGGTGGTGGTCATCAGTTTGTGACGAGATCATATCATCAGCTTGTAATGTTTCATTTGTCGACTGAGATGAATTCGCATTTGCTGATGCGTTATTGGGATTATTCGCAGTTGCATACTTAATGACCGTAGTGTCATCATTCGATTGCGATATGGCTGATGATCCTTGTTCATCGATATAATCGTAATAATCAGCTGAAAATTTCTCTTATCATCTCTGATATATGTGTAAACATCTTGCTGATTTCAGTCAGATGCAGTGACGATTCAATATTCGAACTCGACGAGTCGCAACTCAGAGATTTCACTTGACGAAGATGGTTTATTCACAGTTTTTTTTTAATCTACCAAACCACAAGAGTAACTGCGAATAACTGCAAAAACATCGAAACGTTTGAGCGAAATAATTTTAAGTTTCGCAAAATAAAAAACATCGAAGCGAAAATATTTTAAGTTCTAACGCTGTGAAATTTTAGCTCTTAATGTAGTATTGTTGTCTCTGTCCCGTGAAGTATCATCTTGTTGGCTTTCACCACTCCATTCCGATGAAATCGTATTATTCGTGATTTCATCATCACTGCTTTTGCTATCAACTGTTGCTTTGACATCCTTCAAATTGCGAGGGTACTAATCACGAGGTTGGTAGAGCGCTTCCGCATTTTATAAAATAGTGTTAATGTGCAGCGATGACAAAATGTTTCCATTGAATCGTGAAGTCATTGGTAACAATCGCTCCAAATTAACGATGAAGTGTTTAAGTTCAGAAATGGTCATTGGGAATTGAGTGAGAAATGGGGTATTTCTGAAAGCAATGTCCAATAGAACAAACCTCAGCTAAATTTCGGATGGAATTCATCGCGATTTTAGTCAAATTACGATCAAATGCGTTGTTGTTCCCTTTGATAACATTCAAAACATTACCGAGAAACGGTTGTTTAATCGCATTGTAGGTGCTGTAGAGACGTTGAAGAAATGAAGCTACAATTGATCACATTTATCAATCATTTGCAGTGAATATCCAAAGATTTGCGAGTAGACTAATGAATGAAGATAGCTGATGTACTGTTAAGCTGAAGTAAGTTGAGCGGGGTGGAGAGACACTGCTATGTTGGGATTTTGTACAGTGTCTAGTTGTGCATTTAATTGTAGAGCCTACGGATACTGTTTGATTAGTTGGAATGTGATGTTGAAACAGCTGTGAGTTGTAACGGTGAAACAGTAATGTGGAAACTAAATACTTCTTGGGCTCAAAAACAACTTGTGAGTACCATGAAATTATTGCTGTGTTGTTGTAAACGTATTGTTGTAATGCAATCAAGTAAGTCAAAGCTAAGAAACGCCCAACTAACCACATAAATGTGCTGATAATCTTACGATCTCTTCTGCTATCGTCTAGGTCAGTGATTCTCACGTTTAGGTGCTCCATTACCCCTTTTGATGATCTGGCAGGCAGCCGTTACCCCCTCCTCCCCTGATATAAGAACTTACTGTTTCTGTGCATAACATCAGGAACAAACGGAAAACTGGTCC